GTAAATAATTAATAGTATAATTATTTAATTATAAAAGTTCATATATTAATTAATATGAATATTGTAAAAATATGATTGTTAAATTCTCACTTATTTCAAAAAACATTTCTAATAATTACATTATTGGACATTTCTAATAAACATTATTTATAAACTCTTACATAAATCATTGTTACTCCAACAATTAATTATTTTTATTGAGTCTTTTATTATAATTTTTGAACATTATTTAATGTTTTATATTTTTTGTAATTCAATTATTCATATGTTATTTAAAAAATAATTTCTTTATTTTGATTATTAAACTAAATAAAAATATTTAAAGAGTACATAAGCTTCAAATATGTTTTAAAAAATATCATTTACATGGTAATTTGAATAAATCTTTAAAATGTGTATAAACACTTGTGACTTTATTTTCAGTTTAAAATTATTTTATAGCATGGTTAATAAGATAAAACAAAACTATTATTATGAATCGTATATTAAAAACATAACATTAATAATAAATTTATTTATTACACTTTATTTCTTCTCCTCCTTCCTTTCGGTGGCAGCAACTTTTGGTGTTGCTTCCTTTGGTGCAACAAAGGATTAAAAATTTATGAATAATTAAAAAACAGTTCAAACTGGAATTAAATAGAACAAATTATTGTGAGTTTACAACAAAAGTTTTTTGTAACCTTATCAAACAAAACAAATTGTTTATTCAATAAATTAATTGAACAAAAACAATTCTCTTTAAATTGAACAAATAAAAACTAAAAGTAACTAATCATTCAATTCAACATTATTAATGTTATAATAAATCGAAAAGAGCACGAAATTATTATAAATGTATACTGATTATCCAATCGACATTACAATATATTACGTTGTGAACAAAAATGAAACATCAAAAATAATTGAAATTTTGTTATTCTGTTTATCTTGATAATTAAATAGCAAATATTCTGTGTTAATAAGCACAATAATAAAAGTTAAAATAAAAAGAATTAAAAATTATTTTTTTAATCGTCATCAATTAAACATGCCAAAAAACATGTTTAATTGATGACGATAGAGCAAAAAACTGTTGCTGCATTAAAGGAAGTAACACCAAAAGTTGTGCCACCGAAAGGAAGGAGGAGAAAAAATAAAATAACTACGTAAATTAATTTAGTATAAATATCATTGTTTTGATACATAACATAAGAATATTAATATTCGCTTGACACCATTAAGTTTAAGTAAATTAGATTGACTTTAATTGATATTTCACACTTTAAAAACAAATTTTAACATCATATTTTAATGTTATTAATTTGAGTGTAGACTTTTGAATTGTTATACAAAAGATATTAGTTAAAAGTGACATTATTGTCTGCAACATTTTCAACTTAAATATATGATTGTTATTAATAAAATTCAAATGTATAAATTATAAAATTCAACACATGTAATATTAAATGTCTAAAACGAACTTGTACCAAACTCTTGATTGACTTGATTAACGAATTTAGTTGTGGAAACAGAAAAGTACTTATACTTTACAGAATTAATATTCAGTGACACGTAATAATATATATTGATTGTAATAGTAAACCAATAATATCGATCACTATTTTTATTGACAAATTGAAGTGGTAAGAACAAACACTTTTTAATTAAAAATCCGACTTTACTTAACAATTATTCATCATCCAAAAAAATAAGGCGCTTAAATAAATTAAAAGATGAGATATATATAAACACTATACATGTTCAATATGTGTCATACACTTAATTACAAAAGTCATACGGTGTTATTGTTTTCAAGGATAAGTTCAAAATAAGTTCAATCATCAACAAAATCAATAAAAATACGTTTTCCACAAGTTTTAGTTATTAATATACGGATTAAAAACAATAAAAATACGTTTAATCATTTAAGGGTTTTATATTTAACTTTGCTGTCTAAAACAATACAAAAAACAAAAAAGATGTCCAAAGGCATGAACTTGGTTATAACTTTACATGCTATATAATACTTTAAATTGTATTATTAATTGAAGTCAAAATTGACAATTAATATATATTTTTGAAAAGCATTTCAGAAACAAAGGCTGTCTAATTATATTTGACAATACAAAAGTTGATGAAATTATAATTTGAAACAACATGTTTTTTAAAAATGTTTTTACATTTATTGTTTAAAACGCATTTTTAATTATTTCGAAGTTCAAATGTATACAATTTATGTTGGTGATGAAAAAAGTAGAAAGTGATGTTTAGGTTTTAAAACGAGCATTGTATTTACAGTCTAAATAATAAAAATCAATAAAAAATAAAAGTTTTGTTTAAGTATTGTGATAAAACAATTTTGGTAAAATAAAATCGACCATTTAAAATACGTTTTAAATCGAAAACGTGTTCATAAACAGAAATAATAGTCTTAAATATAGCAACAATATTAATTCAAACCAACTTTAAAAGTTATATAAAAATCCGTCTTGTATAGATTATTCCAGTCACAGGAATAAAATGCTCAAAATAAATAATATGCAAATTCAAAATAAACAAATATTTTAGTTTTTTATAATTATCAAAGCATATATTATTTTTTTGCTTTGACTTTATTATTAATAACTCCATTCAATCGAAAATCAAAGGAACAATTTTTTAAAAATGGATAAAAATAGGTATATTTGTAAATTATTAACTGGTATTATTGAAGTTTGAAGATTTTTAAAATTATGTAAAATTTATTATAACATAATAATTAAAAAAAATATTATTCAAAAAAAGAAAATATGTAAGATAAATAATAAAAATGCGATTATCTAAAAATAGTATTAATGTACAATTTATTGTTGTTTTTGTACTATAACACGATTTATTTTCTACTGTACAATGTGTTTTTCGGTTTAACTACCATAATTTTTTTAATTATAAAAAGCAAAATACAATAAAAATTATATACTACCTTAAAAATAAAAAAACAACAAAAGTCAATGATCTGAGTTAAATGGGCGTACCGATATAATGGGCGTACTCTTTTATTGGGCGTACTCGTTATATAAATAGTAATAATGATTATTTTACACAAATTATTTAACATTAATATATTACATTATTTAACTTTTATTATAATTTATCGAATATACAATCTATTATTAATAATATCCTTTGATTCAAACAAATACTTTACATTTATTTGACACACTTGTTGTATTATTTCTTATTTAAGTTGTTTAAAACAAATATATGGTTTTTTTTATTTGTTTGCTTGTTAAATTAATATAATAATATTATATACATTTATTATATGCATACAAAAATAAATACATTTTAAAAACGTGCCTTTATATTGTCTTTTAATTGTTTTTAC